CGACATAGGAATGTCTTGCTCTATCTACCATAGATTTTGCCACAGGTTAAGAAGTGAGGTTTTCTGAAAGCATGTGGTCTGTTAATAAATCAGTATCATAAAATGATTCAGCACGACCAATATGTGTACACAAATTAAGAGTGTTAACACTTCTATCAACACGTTTTTTTTTTTGGAATCTGATAGTGCAGTATAACTTTTGCAAGTTGAACTATAGGGCTTAACAATTTGAACTGAAAAATGGAATATCACATTAGTATAGTTCCATTTTTTACCTTTACCAATTTGGAAGTATCTCCACATTATCATGTTATCAAAGAAAAACTGAAAAGAATGATAACTGTTTATGTTTGGAATCAGATTTGGTCCAGATAAAGTAGAAACTTTGGAGTATATTGTAACTACAGCGACATCAGCATTTTGAATTCCTTTGCCATTGTGAAGTGCCTCATAAATATCCTCTGCAGTCAACAAATTGTTTCCAGCATCAACAAAACTTCTTATGACACATTTCGCTCCTGCTGACTCTCTATCACATTGAGCTTTTCCACGTGACGGCTCATTGTAATCATACCTTTTAAGAAAGAATTGTTTTGATTTGCAAACTTTGTAAAGGGCTTCTAAATAGAAATTGCCATAATAAGATGATGCATTATCTGACTTAGCATAAAGGTTTTTTAAACCAGGAAAGTCATTTCTAACTTTAGCCAAAATAACATCAGCAAGATAGAGTACATCAACTCTGCTGACATCTATAGACAGCAGTGAAAAAAGCAGTGAAGACATCAACATGTAGAGTCATTCCTTTCTTTCCAAAATAATCCTTTTGGCTTTCACGGAATTTAGCTGGCAAAATTTTCTGACAAAAATCTTTCAGCCAAAAACCAGTTTCCTCATCAAGTTGCTCAAAAGCAGTTATTTTGGCCATTTTTTGTTGTGCATCACCGATTTGATGCTTTATATAGGTTTCAACATCTTCTGTAGCCACATTTAAATCGTATAGATGATCTTCATCTTTACTTCCTAGAACTAACTCACGAACCTGATTGATTGCTGAAATGAGGCTAGCACAGTCAGTACATTGTTCATTTTCAGTAGCTATAGTGGGTTGATTTAAGTCTAGATCTATATCTGAAAGGGCAAAAGAAGTAGAGTGACTACGCAAAGTAGAACTTTTACTACATTTGGTAGAATAATTACTCTTCAGATACCTTTTACCCTTTTCAAGTAACTTCGTAATATTTTTATACTTCCACTTATCAAAAATTGCAATCAAAGTTTGAAACCCATTCATCCCAGCTGCCGTGACATCATCAAGACCAGCCAAAGCTTTTCTTTGAGAAGGTTTTATACCACGAAGAATTCTCCGTAAAGAAGCATCTGACATTGGGAGATAATTAGTTTCTTGGCAAAATTCTTTATAAAATGTGATTGTATGGCTAAACTTCATCACTAAAATGGCATTAGCAAATTTTTTTTTCTCTTTATTGTCAAACTTTATTTTATTTATACCATAAGCTACATCTTGCAGCAAACCTCGACAAAACATAAATTCTAAAAAATGTTCTATTTTTTCCTGTGGCATTCGGCATATGTTTACCTTTTCCTTCTTTGGTATGGAAAATCCTTTACTTTCTTTTTGCAACTTACGTGCTTTTTCAATTTGGTATTTTTTGTAATCAAAGATTTTCATTAATGTTTCTTTAGTGTTCTTGTTATGGTTAATAACTGAAAGCAAAAGAATTTGTCCTAAATAATCGCTTTCTTGAAACATCTTAACTGGTACAACAAGGTCTTCTGGAACCAGTTGAGTTGTAGGATCTTCATCCTACTTGTGTAGCACTTGAGAAATTAGTGCCTCTAATTGACCAGGTGCAATTGCTTCAACAAATATCTTCTCAAGCTACATTTTAAACTTTTCAAATTTCTTCTTAACTTTCTGTTTGGTTCCTGGGGTTAAGTCTTCTATTCGCTTTTGCTTTATCTGAAAGGACAGTGGGCTTGCTCCAAATGCTTCACACAAAGAGCTAGCTGGAACATATATGTCATCAGCAGGAAAGCAAGACTTTATTAGAGTTGGAACTGGCTCTAACATGTCAATATTGCTATCTGTAGATATACTTTTTAGGTGGCTGAAGCAAAATACGACTCCAATAGGAAGTGGTGAATTCTTTTCATTATAAGCAGCAAGGGTTCTTAAAGGGATGGATCTAATTTTTGGTGCTCTTTTACCAATTTGAAATTCATGTCTTGGGTATTGATAACTGTTTGGCTGCTTCCAGCCAATACCCAAAGAAAAACGATGGTACGCACATAATGAGTCATAGGATGAAAGATAAGCTTGTAATCGACTTTCAATTAGGGTTTTTTCATTCCACTGGTTAGTCGGTGGCAGCTATAAAGCAGTAATGTTAATGTTTTTATCAACGGAGTAGGAAATCTTGTTTCTTTTAATAAAAAAGCAAATAATGTTATTATATTATTCATACCTTCAAAGCTTGTAAATGATTAGTTATGTCAGCAGTCAATTCATTAACTTAAAAGATTCCATCTTTGTTCCAACGCTTAAAAGGACCACAAGAGGTCTTTTCTTTATCAAAACATATGCATTTCTTATAAGTACTGACTTTATTTTTGCTCTCTGACATTTTATTTATTAATTATTATTTATTGACAAAAATCTAACAAATGGAGTTTTTACTAACAAATTTCAATACCAAAAACTGCATCAGTTTATATTTTGTCATCAAAGAAATGTAATGAAAGAAATTTATGTTATGTAACTCAAGTTAAGCATGGTATGTACCAAGTAGTCATTAACGCAAATATTACACCAAGTTGGCAGCCATTGTCTGTTAAAGTTAAAACTTTTTAAAAAGTTAAAACTTTTCTAATGGTTAGTTGGCAAATTATGGACAACGATGTTACAATATAGTTTTAGTAATAAATTTTCAAAATTTATTACTTATTCAAAAACATTAATTTATTAACAAGTATTTAATTAGTACGTACAAACTTTTAAAATAAACCTTACTCCCTACCCCCTCACCCCATTTGCTTTGGTACGCTATTTGAAGACCCTTTTCCCTTCCTTTATAAGCGTACATACTTTATGAGCAACCTTTACCAAACTATAAAAAAAAAAATTCAAATAAAATTTTAAATAATTTAAATAAAATTTTGATAAATTATTCAATTAAGAGTTTTTAATCTAGATTATGTAAAATTATTTAATTAAAATAATAAACAGTTTATCATAGTAAAAGTTCAGGATAAAGTAAATTACTTTTTCTGATACTAAAAAAGATTCCAATAAGTATCATAACAACAACAAAAGCTGTCCCAAAAATCTCAACATAATCAAACAAAAATGCGGAGCTAGCAAAAGCCAAGAACGCGCCACCAAAGAACATTGACGATCGAATACCGTCAACAAATGTTAATACGTTTGAGTTGACCATCTTAGCAAGAGCATTAATGAGAAAAACATCTGTTATAATTGGTGCAACTCCAAAACCAATCATATACACAACGCAAAACACAACATTTAACGCTTTATTGAACGGGTATAATGACAGAATAACAAATCCGGCGCTTATAATGCAAAAACATCCTAAACCAATTAATAAAAGCAAAATCATCTTTTTATCTGTCAATGGCTTCCACATAAACAGTAATAATGATAAGGCGCAAAAAACACCTGATCCCAAAAAGGAAATGTTCATTTCGGTAATAGATAGATGCATTTTTTCTATAACTAACAATGGCAACCATATATCCGTGTTTACTAAAAAAAATGCGAGAAAAAAGCTTGAAAACAAAATTAGTGCGGAATCAATATGGAAAAACAACTTTTTTAAAATATTAACAACAGTATGCTCTTTTGGGGTTACAATCAAAACAGAATTTTCATTATCGTTGTTTTGCAATATCGGAGGTTTTTTATCTTTTTCAATTTTTGAGACTTCTATTTCAATTACATCAGCTTCATTTTTGTCCTCTAATGCTTTATAGTCGAATTCTTTTGATAGATTATGTACCATGGTTATGGTCACAACCTCCATGATTACACAAATTAACCCCATGAAAAAACCGGGAAAGTTTAGATCTTTTAAATGCCACCGACCAATAGAAAAGTTTACACCTTTAAAAAAGAAGTTGATACCTGGAGCAACCATGTAACCTAAATTTTTCATAACTGATAAAATTGATAATTTTGAACTTATTTCAGATGCCGGGTAACTCCGAATTGTTTCACTTACAATAACAGATTTTAAAGTTCCACCAAAACCTGCGATAACTCTTCCTCCAATTAAAAAGTATGGTGAAAAAGGGAGACTGTAAAAAATATTTCCAATAAACATCAGCATATTGCAAATTAAAAAACAGATACTGACATTTCTATTTCTATCAACGAATCTTCCAATAAATGGTGTCAGAATTGACGATGTGAGCATGTAAGAAACAGAGACAAGACTATAAAATAGCTTCGGCGTTTTCGTATTCATCATTTCCTTGATATACAACCATAATGTTAAAAAAGTTAGACTGTATTCCATTCCGATAATAATAATCTGAATTGAAAACGCAATAAACGTGTATTTTCTCTTCTGCATCCATTTATTTGGGGGTTGTGTGTTTAAATGCATTATCGATAAATGTTGCAACTAGCAGACGGATGTGTAGATGTATAAAGGTAATATATCTAGTTTCTGTTTGTAAACATTTTTGATGAATTAAATAAACTTCATTGTTTTCTAAAAGTAAAAATAAAAAAATTAATCAAGTTTTTTAAAGCATATCTTCTTTCGATAAAAGCAAAACTAATTTCAATAAAGCAGATTAAAAGGCTAATAATCAAAAATAAAAACCAAATTAGATTAAAGAGAAATTTTAAAAGTTTTTTTTTTCTCTCAAATATAAACTAAAGTTTTATAGTTCATTCAGAAAAACTTATTTGGAATAATTATTTAATTTCACTTTACTATATATAATATCTCCTGAAACCCATTTCACTTCACTATATACGAAACCTCTTAAAACCAATATCACTTCATTATATACGATACCTCCTAAAGCCAAATTGTAGATGCTTTTACAACCTGTAAATCCACGTGACAAAATGTCTAAAAACAGTTTTAAATTCTAAAATAAATAAAAACTGTTTTCAGACATAATATTTATAACTAATAACGGAAAAAAAAATTCTTAACATCAAAATTGCTTTTCGTTAAAAATCGAAACTGTTGATTGTTTATATTTATCTTTAAAAAACTTTTTTTTTACAAATCACTGTTTATTTAGCGTTACTCAAAACTAATTTAAATATAACTCAAATTTCAATGCGGCAGTGAATGTGTTTGATATTTAATTAAAATTGCACAGTTTTTTAGCGTAGCATTTACTGCTTTGCACTTCATGAAAAAAAATATCTATGGTAAATATTTTCATTTTTTATGTGAAACTTCAGATAACTTTATTTTTTTTGATGGTGGTTAGAGGAAGCTTTTAGCACACGTGTAAACTATCCATAGTTCAAGCAACTAAAGAATCAAGCATTCTAAAAATCAAGTACTCTAAAGTGTAGTTTAAACTTGAACTTAAATTTGAAAGCGTGTATTGTAATATTATTTAACTAGTAAATTAAAAATTTTTAGTCCCATTTTATTGCTATTATTATTGTCCTTATTACTATTATTATTTTATTATTATTATTATTTTTATTATTATTATTATTACTATTATTATATATTATGAATACTAATAATATATTATATGTATAATATATATATATATATATATATATATATATATATATATATATATATATATATATATATATATATATATATATATATATATATATATATATATATATATATATATATATATATATATATATATATATATATATATATATACATATATATCTTTGACAACTTGTTTATCTTTTAAACATTTTACTTCCAAATCTATAGTTATTACATTTTTTTTTTATGTTTTTTTTATTGAAAATTCATTTTTTTTTTACCATTGATTTGAAATACAGTACTTTTGTATCTTAAAACGCTTTGCTTAAATGGAGTTTCAAAATTGATGGGCAGCAGCTGTTTAACTAGAAAATGTAAACGGCAAGAAGCAAAAAGGATAGATGGTGTGGTGCTAGTAAAATGGTATCAATATGATCTAGTCTCAATTAAGTTAGTCGCAGGTAATTGTTTTAAAAAGTTTTACCGTTTATTTTTGGACTAACTTTTTAATGTGTTGTGCTAGAAGAAAGTTGTTTATTACATATTAAATTAAAGTACTTATTTTCAAACGAAAAATAAAACCTGTAAACAATTTCTGTCTGTATTCACTTGTCCAAGTGCTAGTGAAACGAACGATAAAAAAGAATAACCATTCAGTAAGATTGCAATTTTTGTTTTTTTTAATTTTTTTAAAATGATTTGAATAATTTTCTTTTTTTATTTAGTTAAATGGAGAAATTGTTAAGACAAAAGATTGCCTCTTTAACTTTTATATTAAAGTTGTTATTTCCTTGTTAACTGTTTGTTGTCGTTAACAAAGCAAGTAAAAATGGACATAATGACAACAGATTTATCTTTCGAATTGTTTGCAAAACTTTTGGTTTGGATACAAAGACCAAGTGAAAATGATATTAGAAAGGTACAATTTCTTATAGCTAATTATCATTGCTGCTTTTTTGTCTATATTTTTGTTTATGTGTATTTCATCTGTTGCTAATGATATCGCCAGTTTTTATAATTTTATGTTGTTAAGTAAAGCATCGTTATGCTTTTGGCTAAAACAGAGCTTTGAATAATACTTTTATTCAGTTTAAATGAAAAACAACTCTCAAGGTGTATTAGCTGAATTACCTTTTAGTTTTGATAGTCTTTAGTCAATAACGGATATTTAGATTGTTATGGGTCTACAGCACTTAATTTCAGCGAAATTAAATTAAAAAGTCGCGTCATAGAAGACAGGAAAATATCAATATCTGTTTTCGATAACTTGGCATTCATAGCAAATCTGAGAAGGTGCAAATGTTTAGCTTCTTTTAAGTACTACATAATGAAATACATCGCTTTACAGTTATTTTGATGGTCATAAATTTCTTTAGCATACTTATTTATATATATTTTTAGACTGTTTACCATATATATTTTAGACTGTTTACCGTTTGACTCCTGTCCCAATTTACCTAGTAGGGGCAAAAAGAAAGGACTACGCTGGAAACAAGAGGGGATCAGCTCTTTTTAAATTAATAGCCGGTAAGTCTAATTTGTTTCACTCAGCTAATCAAATTTCATTTGCTTTTTTGTATTACATTTAAGCTATAGACTGTTTTTAATGTTCACTCGTTTTTTAGAAGTCGTAACCAGCTCGTATAAAAAGATTTCTCGACGTGAAATTTTATTCAACAATGCCAAGAATCTGTGTTTGCTCAAGAAACAGAGGAGAAATAGAAAGATGAAAAAATATTCTGCTGAAAAATACTGTTGTTTTATTTATAAATTATTCTTCTATATTTAAATATATAAAAGATGTAGAAAATGCTTCCTCTTTTATATTGACATCTAAAATAGGCTTTTTTCTCGGCATCGGAAATAATTTTTTGTCATACTTTGTATAAAGAGCTATTATCATTTTCATTTAATAATGTTAAAAACAACTTTTCATATATGAAAAGTAGGAATACTATTGCGTATAGGATACTATAGTATACTAATAAGTATGACAAAAAAATCTATCCGACCCCGAGAAAAAAATTATTTTTTATAAGTGCATAATCGATAAACAAAGACGTCTTAAGGCTGTTTTTCACAAGACGAAATATTCGCGCGAAACGAATTTTTTCGCTATGACGAAACGCTGTTTTATTTTCTACTTACTTTCATTCGCGCTACTTTTTTTTCGTTGTCACCAATAAAAATGGCAGCAATAAGTTTACGCTGTATGTTTAACTAAAAGCAGTTATTACTTTTTTAGCATACTCGTGCATTAATATTAACATTTCTGTCTTTATATATAAGATGTGATATCATTTTGTAATGTAGTCATTTAATATTAGGTTTTTTTTACAAGAAAGTATGAGAAAATAAATGCTAAACTCTGATATAAACATTTCTATTAAAAAACTGTTACGGCAAGAATGAACAGCAGGTTTAACTCTACGTAGGGTTTTTCACAAAAAGATTTATCTTTGTGTGGCCACTTGAAGATAAACATTCTTATGAAGTGTAACTTTCGTAATATAAAATTCATTTCATATAAAATTAATAAAAACGCCAGGTTAAGTTATTCCTTTAAAGACAACATGTATTCGTTTTTTTTACTGTTGACATCACGTGATGTAACATTCAAAACTAGATTGGTTTTCTCTTATGGCGATTCGCAAAAAGTCGAAATGAATCCGACTTTTTTTTCGCTACAGCGAAACGCTGCACAGTGAGTCAGAAAGGGAAAAAAACGGCAAAAATTATATAACTATTACATATAAACGTGTGATTTATCAATACTATCGTATTTTGGGTCAAAAAATTTAAATTTGTTATTGAAAATATTTTTTACGCGTACCTATGACGTACAACGCAAGCTTACGCGTGTAAGTGTCATTTACGCGCGCAAAATATGATTTAAATAAATAAATTGCATTCCTTGATCCAAAATACCATATAAAAAAATACCACATATTTTTTAATGTAAATTTCTCTTGTGCCTAAGGGTCATACACGCGTATAAGACTCTAGCACGTATACATGCGTATACGTGTTATAGTCTTTAACGCGCACAAAGACTTAATTTAAAAAAGTTAAATTCTTCAAACCAAAACATATACTTGTTAAAAAGAAAAATTGGATCCAAAAAATCTTTTAATATTATAATAATATTAAAGTATATTAAATACAAAATAAATATTTATCTCATCTAATTTTTCTAAACAAAAAAAGAAAACCTAAAGTTATAAAAAAGCTTTATTTTATTATTACAGCATTAACAAAGATAAAACTTCAGGGGTAAGTGTTTTTCCATTTTCAACCTTGTATTTTTTGAAACAAATGTTTGATATTACAGGATCACTTCTTATCAAGAGGTATTGGTACTGGTTTTTCATAACATTCTTTCTTGATATTTTGTCTGTATGGTTTAATCTAGCTTTGCGAATTTCCTCATTTAGAACCTTTTATGACTCTTCAGAGTAGTAACCAATTGGCAGCTCTAATGCCTCAGATATCTACACACCATGTTCCAAGAGTTTATGAACAGTTGGGGAATCATATACCAGCAATAGTTTTTAAGTATAAGAGCTGTAGTTTCATAGCAATACTGGCGAAAACTTTCTGAGTTTAACTCATAACAGGAGCATACTGATATTAGGATTGTCCTCAATCTAATAATTACATCTACTGACACTCCCGTTATATCAGCGAAAGTTTCAGCATTTTCAAATGCCCTTCTGGCAGTGTTTCCGTCGTTAGTGTTGCCAAAACCCTGTTTAGGCATATCAACTATAAGACTTAGCTTTCTACTTTTCAATGATGCTTTTTCAGCGGGGGATTTGGCAAAGTATTTTTTAATATTTAACTTATATCCTAAATATAAAATATATTCAAAAGATCTGAGCCAGCAATGCAGAGTAGAAAGGCCTAAAGATAAAGCTTTTTCATTAATTGGTTTAGATCTAATCAATTCTGGGCTATTAAGTTCACTGGGTTTAGATCCGCAAATATTACTTGATTGGGAGGACAGAGTGTTAGTGAGGGCATTAACCACTTTACCATCAAAAATGGTTAAATCTAGTTTGAACTTAAATGTGATTGTTGTATCCGGTTTGCCTTCCTCTACTTCTAACTTTACTTCAAACTTGACTAGTCTATTTATTTCTGCTTTTAAAAGTTCATACTCATTTCGAATCAATTTTTCCATTTCTTTTTGATATTGGAGATGTAAGGGTCTACAGTAATGTGTACTAGAAGGCTTCTTATTTAACCATATATTTTTGTTCGTGATGGTTAATTTAAGTGGAAAAATAGCTGTCTGGAAAAGAATTTGCTCGTTAACTTGGGCCTCACCAATATTTGTATCAGTATATTTTTGTTTATAGACACTTTGACATGAGGCACCATCAAAACCACCTTTAAAGTGAAGTACAGCTTTAAACTTACCCTTAATTTCTCCAAACATTCTTATAGAGTCTTGGCATTCCGTAAAAGTTAATATTCTTGTCAGAGTATGATTAAACATACCCTGTAGAGGAGTTGAGGCAGATGTTTCTGTCACAATTAAACCCTCAGTATAACACTTGTGTCTCTCATTCTTAATTTCGTGAAGTGAAGGATAAATATCTGCATTATGTATTGTTGATGAATGTCTAATAATTTGATACTGCTCATCAGAAAGGTCACACTGAACTTTTATGCTCAAGGCATCGTTGGTTTTCATTTTTATTGGAAAATTTATCTCCGTGATATTAACCTTTTCAGAGTTTGTTGCACTTTTCATGAGAACAACGAAATCTTTTTTGGTAGGATCTCTAGTGGCTTTTTTAATTGAAACTAATGCCAATGCTTCAGCAGGATGTTCAGCCAATTTGGCAACCTTAAACAAGATAATATTTAATATTTAAGTTTGTAAACTATTTTTTCAAACTGGGTTGAACTTAATTTATTTATCATTACCTTAGATCTTCTGCTTCTATCACCTAAATCTTCCTAGTTCTCGCTCTTTCTACCTGGACCTGCTGCAAAGTTTTTTTTGTCAACAGTTACATCTTTTTTCAACCAAATTTGCTCGTGTTCCAAAAGTCTAGAGAAGGTTCTTGAATATTTCTGCAATTTTGATCAGAATTTACATTTAAATATTATTAGAGTTTTCTTTAGATTTAATATTTTAGGTTTGTCAATACTTTCATAGTACAGACCCTCCAGTCTACAAAACTCACGTATAAGAGCTTCGAGTAAGTTATCATGATTAATATTCCTAACTCTTGAATTATAGGGATTAAATGTATTCTTTTCATGTTTAATGTAAGCAATGAACTATTGTTAGTTATTTTACACGCAAGTTTGAATTTTGAAATATGCACTATAGCATCAAATATAGCATATTTTGGTTTTGAGGTTTGATAATTAGCATCATCTGCTTGAGCATGAGTTTTTTTAGTAATAGGAACTAAATATATTATTTGTGTGATGAATGCAAGCAATGAACTATTGTTCGCTACTTTATGCGCAAGTTATAATTAAAAACGGAAAAAAAAAATTCGTTTAAAAAAGTCTCGCTTAAGTGTCACTCTTTTAAGATTAATATAGGCAAAAACAGTTCAAAATTTAATTTGAAGTCGTATGTTTAAGATGCTTGGTAACTATTAACAACATTTTTAACAATAAATTTTAATTTTAGATTTTCATTACTGAGATCTCAAAAATATTTCATAAATTGATTTTTTAAAATTAGTTTAATTATGAGTTTAGTTCAAAAATTAAAAGATTCCACTAGATTCCATGGTAGTCTTAAAATTTTCCCATTAATAGGTATATATGAAAGCAGAAAAAATAAAAATCATTTGTTTTCAAATAAATAAAATAAAATAAATAAGTCTCGGAAAAAGACGTATAAATTGGTGAAATCTTACAAATTATTCAAAAAAAAAATAAATTATTTATTGTCTTTTAGTGGTATTTAGTGACATTATAAACTAATTATTTATTTTCTAGCAAAAGTTTTTTATGGGGGGTTTTTGCCGTTTTATATGGATTTTGACTCACTGTGCGCTGCAGCGAAATAAAACCAGCATAATCGCCAAAAAAGTTTAATTTGCGCATGCCTAACGACAAAAAAATTCGCTTCTCACGAATTTTTCGTCTCGTGGAAAACGGCCTTTAAAGACGCATTTTTTATGTCTTTTTATGACAAGATAAAGACGTCTTTTCGATGTTGAAAAAAGATGTCTTTTAGATTTGCATAATCGATTAAAAAAAAACGTCTTAAAGACTTTGTAAATAAGTTTTAAAGACGTTTTTTCGACGTCTTTCAACCACTGGGTACAGATTATGAAGCGGTATATCCATAAAGGTATTTGACAGTATTAAAAGCGTTTTTATTACATTTTTATTGTAACATTTTGCAGTTACAATAAAAATGAGCGAAAAATTGCTCAGGGACAGATTTAAGGTTCGGTTTGGTGCATCTGCCGATTATTGGAAAACTATTACTTCCTTATTTTTTATTTTCTTTATTTGATTTATAAAACTTTAATGCATTTTTGTTTGCTTCTTTCTGTCTGAAGATTAAATAACAATATCTAGTAAAATGTATATAGCACAAAACTTGTTGATTTCCCTCATAGCGCACCCTTCATTATCTTACGCATACATATATCTTTAATTATCCTTCATAATTTAAACAAAAATCAAGTTTTAAAAGCAAAAAGTCATAAAACTTCGTTGCGTAACTTCCGAATTATGCTTAATAATCTAACACTTACCCTGCCT